CTAAGGCTTAGGGGTTTAGGGTTTAGGATGTAGGGGTATAGGGTTTAGGGATTTTACATTTCAGGACGTCGAGCGTTCCGGATTTGTGCTGGAGGGCTTCGAATTTGTTTTGCTGATGTCCCAGTTGGAAAGGGTCTTGGCATGTTGATCCCAAGAGCGATTGTATGCAAAATCCTGCACTCATAGCACAAACGCGAAGGGACTTGAAATCCTAAACCCTAATCCCTAAAACCAGGTTCCTAGACCCAAAACCCTTAAAGAAACCTCATGACGGAGACCTTAAACAGACGGTACAATAGAGCCCCCTACCGAAAAGGCCCAAGTCTCAACCTCCGCGTAGCAGGTGGCTACCATGAACCACGGAAGGCTTCCCTGGGCTCTTGCTGAGAAGCATCATGTTGTGTTTAGGGTTTAGGGTTTAGGGTCTTTTTTAGGGTTCCTTAAAGGGATCTATACGGGTTTCTATATGGGTACTACAAGGGCTTTTGTTGAGAAGTTTGCTTGGCGCAAACGTGCCCAGGAAAAAAGTCGTGTCTACTTAAATATTCCTGCTGAGCAATCTTGAACTAAGTTCCTTAACCCTTACAGCAACAGAATAAACAATAGCAAACCTCATAAAGTCCTTGTGAAAACCAATGAAAAGCCGTGCCAACCACTTAAGAACCAAGTGTCACTGCGGAGCACGCCGACAACTCCCAGGCATACAGCCGAGAGCAGCAAAGGTCCCATGCAAGCCTGAAGCCCCGAACTGAGTAAGGCTCGAAGCGCACAGTTTAGTGTCTAAGGTTTGGGGGCTTAGGGTTTAGGGGTGAAGGGTCCTGTAGGGTTCTAGACGGATGTGGGAAGGTTGTAACCATGTTTTATGAGGATCCTAAACTAGACTTCTCCAAGCCCATGACGCCGCAGCGGCAAAGCCTGAACTCTATAATGTAGGGGCCTTAATAATTAGAATGGCGTTTGGGGGTAGCTTATACAATAATAATAGTAAGGAAACCCCCAAAGCCCTAACCCATTTATTAAGGCCCCTACACTAAAGCCTTAGACCGGAAAAAGCTGAAGAACTAAAGCCTGAATCAGAGAAGCCTTAAATTATACAATTACTATCACTATTACTATTACGATTACTATCATTTTTATTGTTACTATCATTATTACTATTACTATGAATATGATTATTATTATTACTACTACTACT